TGCTAGATACATGAAGAAAATGCAACAAAATAACAGCTTTTTAAAAAAATGCGAAAAGTCTTCTGTTACAACCATTCAGTAATAAGAAGTTTTCAAAGTCACAGAACTGAGGTTCTCTGTTACCAAGCAGTGTCAGAAAAAAAAAAAAAAAAAAAAATTATGAGGCAAACCTTCTGCAAGAGAACTTATTTTTAGAAAAGTAAACGAAGGCATAAACAGACATCATCAAAACCTCCACCAGGTAATCGCCTTGAAGATGCTCTAGTGACACGACTAAAGAACTCGGTCACTCAGGGCACAAATCAGCTTTTCTGCTCCCTACCTGCTGTTATTTTAAGAATGGGGGAGGGAGGGAGGGAGCGAGGAGACTAATCCTTTTGTAGGCGGCTTGACAATAACGTTATCCTAGTTCAAAACTCACAGCCCATGTCCATGAACCTGGACACACTCGATCCCACAGCCCGCAGAGGAGCCGAGGAGCATCCAGCCAGCAGCAGCTCCAGTGGGAAGGAGGAAAAAAGACGGGATTCGGAGCAAACGCAGCCTTGCAAGCCCGCGCCTCTCCTCTTTAAAGGATACCACGTCCAGAAAATTAAAGCACTTCTTTATTCCCTCGGGCGGCTCCCGTCGCTATGCCCGCTAGGCAACCTGCTGCCGCCGAGTGCGGGCTGGCACAGCACAGCCCTCCCCACACACCCCTCCTTCCCTCCCTCACCGAGCCCCTATGCGGCACCCACAGCACCGCCGCGACCCCGGACACACACCCACACATCCCCGTGGAGCGGGACAAGGGAGACAGAGCCCGGCGGGGGCTTACTTGGGCGGGAGGCACAGCGCAGTCCGAGCCGCCCCGGGGCGGCAGCGCCGCTTCCTCACAGGTGCTCCTCGCTCAGGTGCGGCCCGAGGCGAAGCACAGAGAGACAGAGCGGCAGCGCTACAGCCGCATTTCCACCGCCGCCGCCATCTCCAGCATCCTGCCCTCCCCACGGCAGGCACCAGCCGCGCCCCGCCCCGCGCCCCGCCCAGGAGGGAGCTTGGGAAGTGTAGTTTGGGAAGCGGCGCCGCGGGCCGTTGGGCTCTATCATTTCTTCCTCTGCGAGGGGGGGGGGGGTGCAGAGGGAGGAAGAGAGGCATTCCTTTAGAGTTTCCTGAGCAAGGAGTTAAAAAAAAAAAAACCACTAACCTCCCCACAGCTTGTGCTTTTCCTTTTTTCAAAGCCCCTGACAGGAGCCTCTCGCCCTCGAGGCGGCTCAGCTCCAGCCGCCTCTCCCCCTCTCTCCGTCCCTCCCTCCACCCTTTCCCTGTGGCGTGGTACGGCCGGCGCGGGGCCGGGGCGGCGCGGCGCGTGTGGCGCGGTCGTTGCCGACCCGGCGGTGTCTGTGGGGACGCGCCGGGATCCCGCTCCTTCATCCACGGACGGGGCGGACGCGCTTCCCCGCCGCGGCTCTCGGGAACCACTACCATGGACAGGACCGCCGTGGCCAAGATGGGAGCGATGGCGAGCGCCAGCGTGTGCGCGCTGGTGGGCGGGGTGGTGCTGGCGCAGTACATCTTCACCATGAAGAAGAAGACGGGTAAGAAGACCAAGATCATCGAGATGGTACGTGGTAAGAGGCCGAGAGCCCCTCGGCCGCGTGCCCTTCTCCTTCTACTTGTCCTGCGGCCGGCGGCTCCCTGCGGCCGCTCCCGCGGGGACAGGCGGATATCCTGAAGGGATGTCTGAAGGGGCAGCGGGGGGATGTTTGTGCCCGGTTTTGGATTTCTGTAAGGACAGAGGCTGGACGCAAGAGCACCTGCGGTTCCACCACAGCGTGACCCACTGGCGTGGAAGGTGCTCCGTCCTGGCCTGTCCTCTCCGGCCCGTAGGATACACATGTACCTGTGGGTCTTGGTGGTGGTTTAAAAGGCTGCTTGTAAATTGCTTAAAAGAAAATTGGGACGTGCACACGCACGTGTCCGGCCATCTGTTGAAACTGGGAAGCACTGCCTGCTCACGGTTACTATAAAAGGAAGATGGAGCTCGCTCGCTCTCTGCTGCCCTGGTTAGACTTGTTATTTAGGCTACTGTTTAAATATCTGCTAAACATCCATAGCTGGGTGGTAAACGGTCTTAGTTTGGGCAACATGCTGATTGTGTGGAATTCCTTCAAAATTAGTGGTTTGTACACCACTGTACTGAAGAACTGAACTGAAATCATCAAATCAGTTGGTGTTGGCCAATGTATCTTTTGCGCTCTCCCCTCAGATTTATGGGTTTTTTAATTACACATGGAAACATGTTTTGCTAAGAGCTAGGATTATGTATGTAAATTGTGAGCTGCCTAACTACTGGCTTGGCCATACGTTGCCACACTTGCCAGTGGAATTCATACAGTGCAGTTTATGATAACATGGATCCAAGGAAGAATTCCACTGTGAGTTTTTGCTAATTATAGAGTCATCATTCTTACTGTTGAAAAAAATATTGTTTCTAGTCATCAGTCATGTCATTCAGCAGTTTGGAGGCAGGTGCATTACTTTTTAGTTTCTCTGAGCCCATTTACAACGGCTAGTACTGTAATGCTAAAACTTACTTTTTAGTTATATGAACAATAAAATAGCAACATCTAAAAACCTGATCACACTCAAAAGGCAGACCCAATAGTTTCACTGACTCCTATTCACAATACCTGATTTGAGCTGTAGTTCAGAAAGTGCCTAATAGTTGCTGAAGATGTGTTTATATAACTCTCTGTACAATGTTTAAGTGGTGTTTTGGCGGGCAAGAGCTAAACTTTTATCTTTGTTGCAAAGATTTTGCTTTTGATAGGGGAAAAAATGTTAGGCCAATGCTAAACTGATTTCTGGTAGGTGAATTTCTAAAGTATGTACTTCAGATAACATTTTCAGAGCACTGTTGTTGGACACAAATCTGTGATCCTAAAGAGATCCTTCCAAAAATTTTGCTTTTATGATCAGAACTTTTCTCAGCTTTAAATTGTAAGGAAAATGTTAAACTTGTTGAAAGCATGTCAGCTTTCTCATGCAGAAACCTTTTCCTTCAGTTGGATGCAACATATTAATACTATCTGCTCAGTTAACAAGCGAGCATTTCAGCCAGTATTCAAGTTGGTAGCTTCCTGAGATAACAAACACCTTCAGTTCTGAAGATGCAAGTCTTCTTTCTTAAGCAGTATTTTCTGTAGACACGTGTTCAGCCTGTGCAATTTCTTCAAAGTAAGTGAAATAGTTATGTAACTTTTATACCCAGGAGTTTAGTTTGTCAGATAAGGGCAAAAATGTGTTTGTGTGTTGTATTTGAATATGCTGCATTGTGAGAAGCTTCCTGAAATAGTTTTACCCACCAGTGTAGATTTGATTCAACATCTGTCATTTACAGGACACTGTATCAGTTTTATTTTATCTCAAGAGAGACCTTTCTATGAGCTGTGGGGAGAAAGTGCTGTTTTCCAGTCTGTATTTAGCTAGGTTAGAGTAGTGGTGAGGAACAATACTGTTTTATTGAAATGTATTTTTTCTAATACATGAGGCGGATCTTCCGTGTTAGATTAAAATTATAGGATTTTTCTTGTATTTTCAGCAGATTTTTTTGGTTTAACTTTTCTTCAGGGAACATTGCACTTTAGTTTTATACTAACCTTAGACTCAGAGTTACCTTGCTATATAACTTTTATCAAAATTAGTAGGGAGTGGGCCAGTTTACACTTTAGTTATGTGAATTCTCGCCAATGAAATATTCTTTCATTTTAATTAATTACAGCAATTTTTTTTTACTTTTTTTTTAGTTAAAATGAAATTAGATTAATATAAATGTAAGTTAAAAATTACTTATAGCTGTCTTTAAATGCTAAAAAGACAGTGACTTTTACAAATCAAATAGAATATCTGTAAGACAAGAAAGTATCAGGGATTATGATGCCGAGAATGTTTGATGTGAAGAAAAGTGGAGAGGATTTTCAATCATTGTGGAAAAGAGTAACCACGTTTCCTTGCTCAGTAATAAAAATCAAGAAATTCCTAAATGTCTAGCTCACATTTCAGTGGATGATTTCCTTAGCACAGTAACTAGCCTGTTACACAAATTTAAGCTTAATGAAAACACCTTAAAATTACTGCATCTTATTTGAAAGAAAGGGTTTAAGTTTGAAATTAAAGTGTTAATATTGTGTCTTCATCAACCATCTGTAGTTTGCAAACAGGGAGTTTCCCTTAGGCACTCATGAATGTAGACAGAGTTACTTCAGCTCCACTTCTGAAGTAACAGAGGCATTAATAGTAAATATATAGCCAGTCATGTGAAGCTCTACTCGGTGTGTTAAGAAACAACCATCTCTCAAAGCCTTGTGTATTACTTTGCACAGCCAAATTGCCAATTCTGTGAAATTATCCTAAGTGTTCCCATAGTCAGGTGAAGGCAAAAGTTAGCTGCAAGGTTGCTAACTTTCATTTAAAGGGATGGTTGATAATTAATTACATTCTGAAAGTAACTTTTTAGATAATGTTTCATGTCTACTTTAAAAAGAGATTAAACCTTGCAATAACATTCAATCTTTTGGATTTTTCAGGTCTCAGACAAGTTTTCAGGGAAGTTGTGGATTCTGGTATAGCAAATAGTTGTACTGATAATACACTTCAGTTTCTTGATTACCTTTTGCAAAGCAGTTTGAGCAGTTAAGCACAAAACAGGTGAACTAACTAACTAGAGTGAAAAATGTTGCCTGAGACTTCCAAAAACACTCACCTGTAAGGAATAGCCTGTGTTAATTGAAATGTGGGGTTAATGTAAGAAAAACTTCTTAATGAAGTAACAGTATTTTTTGTTTTCTGTTTCATACACAGTGGTGTTAGAACCCTGGGGTTTTTTCAGCAGCTTGTTCCTCACTCTTTAATTTTGGGGCTTTTTATTGTATTTCTCTTATAGGGATGAGAAACATAATATATAGCTGGTTGAAAACAGAATAGCAGAATACCTTAAACTGAGGCTTCCTCTCCCAGGTTTCTTTTCCAGAAAACTAGGAAGAGGTTAGTTACATTTGTCTATTTCTCTGTTCTTGCCCCGAAGTGAGGGGATATAATTACACCAAAAAGAGACTTTGTATCAAGTTACAGCAACAACAAATTAAAAATCAACTTAAAAGCAATGTCTGAGTTTACAGGAAACGTTTCAGTCACCCATTCTTAAATGTCTCTGGACAGTTTTCATTTTATTGTGTTAGGGGAGGAAAAGAAATGCATGGATTTTTGCATTATTAGAGTTTACTTGGAGAGAAATAAGTAAACGAATAAGAAAGGAGGTAACTGCTATTTATCTGCTTCCCTAAGAAATAAAGGAACAAATTCTGTGAGTAAGACTGTTACTGGGTTTATGTGGCGGGTTTGGTTTTTTTGTTATGATTACTTTCTTTTACTCACCAGTCTCTGGTGAGACTGGGTTCTTGTTTCAAAGGGCATAAGAGCATTTGTGCCACAGATGACGGATACAGACCCTTACAACTGGCAGCAATCACACACCACTTTACTTCTTTATTCTTATCTTGTTGCTTGTAATAGTTGTTGTAGTAACTGTGACATTACTCCAGCAGGTTGACCTCCAAGTGGAGGACAAAGTAGAGGAGCATGTAGTGTGTAGCATACATATTCAAGAATCTAAATGGTTAGTATTTGAAACTCCTTCATATGTACTTTTGCCGGTACAAAGATGAAGAGTTTGAGCCTGAGTAAACTGGAATCAATAAAAGGGGAACAGAAGGAAAATGGACTCTCTCTAAAGATACCGCTGCAGGACACGGTCACTGTCTGAGTATTGCAGTGATAATATTTAAAATGTGATCTTGAGAGCTATCCAGTGATGAGATCCACATAGGAATAATGCTGTTCAAAAAGAATGGTCCTGTGAAATAAACCTAAGTAGTGAAAAGTGAAAGAACTGCTGAGACATAATACTGCCCCTACCTATTAAGATGTGACTGAGAGCCCTTATATTACTAGTTACTAGCATATTAAAATAATTTTTAAAATATTGTTAACATTTTTAAACCAAGTTAAAGCTGATATGACTACTGGAGATGCCATATAAATATTTCTATAAAACTTGGTTTTTGTTTAGACTGTATTCCTCAGTAGGAATACACATTGACAGTGATAGACACCAATTACTAAAACAAGGGTGTGTTGCCCACAGGTAGTTTGCAGAGATAATAATAATATATGCCACTTAGAGAATGCATAATATAAGTGTGCCTAATATAAACCACCATGCATAATATAAGACACCTAGAATGTGTCTTGTAGAACAAGTTTACATGGAGCAGAAAAACCTTAAGCACAATACATGTTGACACAACCTACATACTAGTAATAGTTTTTTATTCTCACTGTAAAATAATTCAGTTGGAAATTTAAAAAATGTGGGTCCTTGGAGAATAAAAATTGACTCAATGCCAGTGTTTTCTCCTCTTATTGTTAAGAATAAAAAAGTTGTCTATTATACAGATTATGTACATACTAATATTTTACTTAATTAATATAATAAGCTGATCCTACAATTCAACTTTCTGTTTCAGAAGTAGGTTTTAATTTTCTGAAATTGCTGCTGCCTTGGGTTTTTTAATTTAATTCAGCAGATCTTGAAACATACATTCTTACAAGGAATAGATATGGGAAGATCAATTAAATCTGTAATTCTGCATTAGTTTCCTTAGGACTCATTTATCCTACTTACAACAGTTCTCAAAAACATGATGATCTATATATGAAAACTGAGCCCCAAGTAGTAAGTATAAGCCATGTCAGGCTATAATATATATTGTAAGTATAGGCTCAGAAGAGCTTGTTTGCTGCTTTCTTTTATCTTTTGTATAAAGTCTTTCTCCAAAACAGAAAAGCAATCTTTCAATGAATCACTCTGCTCTGGAATATATTTATTTACCTTCTAATAAGTGCTTGATATGTGTTAAGTCATATTTTTAAGTGATTTTTCTCCTCCTTCTGATAACTTGTGATTGTTGGTTGAGATATAATGGCATGTGTTCCATTAAACTTTTTACAGCTTAAGACCAATAGCAAATACTGCAAGTATTAAACATGTTCCCTTTAACTGTCAAACAATATAAGCAGTAATAAGTTTCTTTTAGTTGTCTGAATACACATAGCATTGCAAGTCTTTTCATATTATGAATTAAAGTTGCACAGCATTCCAATCATACCATTCAGTCTTCAGTTAACAGAAACTGTCAGCTTTTATAAAATGTATCTAAATTGATCGATATAGGTATTAAAGAGACCCAGGGTATGGATCCATGCATTTATAGACAGGAGGATACTAGCTGTAAATTCAATGGCAATGGAGCTGTAAATGTAAAAACATCACAATTTGTGTAATTCTGCAAAGCTGAAAATGCCTTAACTTTGGAAGATGTTTCCTTTAAAAAACAAACAAACAAACAAAAAAACCCAACGGCTTCCTTTTACCTATTTTCACTAGCATGAGTAACATAATGGAAAATACATATTCTTTTCTATGCTGGCTAGTTCCAGTTTATGTTACTAGCCTTCAAGCCATCAGCCACACTTCTTCCCTCCGTGTGTGCATACAAGTGTATTTGTGCAAGTACAGTACAGCATACTCTTCAGCTACGGTAAAGAGTAATTCTTGGAGAGGCATTAAGGGAAAATATTAGCAAATAAGCAGAGTGTTAGATGTTACTGCTGTATTTTGGTGCGTTTGCCAGACGGTAAATAATTTTCAGGATTTAGATTTTCGCTGGTTGAGCTGCATCAGACAGCGCCGAGCAGCAGGTGGCGCTGGTGCGAACCGGGCCTCAGCTTTCCCGGCCGGTCCCTGGGGTGCGTGAGGGACATCGCCCTTTAAGGAATCCTGCGACTGGCATTTCTTGGCCACTGCCTGACAGTTCAGTACAACTGAACTGCTCCTGCATGCAGAAAGCCCAGAGTAGCAGCTCTGTCTCTGCTGCCTGTCAGATGCTCAGCCGTGAAATTTGGCAGATCCCGTCACATGCTAAGTGCAACTGAGAGGCAGGAATAGCTCACAACTCTTCTTCCTGGCCTCCTTTCCTAACCCCTGTGCAGAGATATAAGGTCAGATAAGGCTGGGCAAGTTAGTTGTGTAAGTATACTATTGTGGAGGGTGTGGAAAATAAAAGTTAGAGCATGAGGTCTAACTTTTCCTCTGGCCTTCTTGCAGTCACGTTACTGTGCAGCAGTTGATTTGTAGTGCCTGTTTCTTCCTAGGGCAGAGGTCTTCATATAGCAGTTATGCTGACCAGTTGCTGGATGTCAGTCACGTTCTCCTATCCAAAAGTCTTCAATCACCAGTGGTCAGCTGCTGTAAAACATCAGAGAACCTATGATGATCGCAGTAGGCAAATTTTTTAGTCCCATGTTTATCATTCAGCAGCTTGACTGGCACTGTGCCATTAAGTTGGAATCCATGGCTGTTTTGTTAGTCACCTCCATCTTAGGTTATTTGTGTGGAGTTTCTGACTGTTCAAGAAAAAAAAAAATCAGTGTTCATTAGAAATCCACTGTTTGTTTTTTTTTAATTTGGCTAATCCTAATATCGATAGAGTGCTTTGTTTGAATGCTAAAAAAAGAGACATTTTTCAGTGTAAGTGGACATATATTTAAGGTCACAGCACACAAGTCAAAGAAGATACTAAAAGTAACTATATTATTTTCATTCACCAATGCCACAAAAGAATACAGAACTGCACTGACTTGTCTCAGACAATATTTACAAAAATAATTTTTAATAACACTTCTATAAATTATGGAAATAATACCTATTGCTAGAAGGAAATGTGACTTCTAGTTTCATATATATCAACCTTTAAAAAAAGAGTTAATTTATTTAATTTGTAATTTTATTTTATTTTTAAAGGGCTGGGGCAAAGCCCAGACTTGGGCACTGAAGATTCATTAAGTGTCTGAATATAGACTTTCAGACTTCTTGAGCCACCAAGATTCCTGTTCAAATCTACTTGTTCTTACTTGTTTCCCACTTGTTAGCTGTAGCTTCCTTCCTGCACCCTTATATAAATATCTGTTTGTCTGCTTTGCAGATTGGATCACTGAAATAATCCAAGTTTATTAGCGGTTTAGTTTTTTTTACCTAAGAGTTTGCTTTCCTCCACCTTAATGCTGACAGAATGAATATGACTGAAATGTACCATTAACCCTGTTCCTTTAAAGCTTTTCCCTCTTTGTGGGAAACTTACTAGTTACCAGACTAAAAGTGTAGTTTTTGCATTCAGCAGTTACTGATGTAGCACTTACTAGTGTGAACTGCATTTGCCTTTGCAACGTGTATCAGCCTCAGTTCCGTCTGCATATTACCATGGAAAAATTGCATGTGAACTGAAAGGTAGAAATTAGCATGAAGCAGTAGCATATTAACACATTAGCAGTAGTAGAGTGCAAAGTAAAGTAGTGGTAGTAGTATTACTACAGGTTGGTTTTTGCACACATGGTGCATCAATTCTAGAAGGCAAGTACAAGAAATAAGGAGCGTCCAATTGCATCTTTGAATGGATCCAGCAGTGAGAAACACCCATAAAACAATGAGGCATGGAGGTGACACAATCCCTCATGCCTGTTACCTTTAAAAATGTGTTGTAGCTGTGTTTCATCTTTAGACTTAACTGATTATTTTTTACAAGAACTTTAAAGAAGGGTCTGTACTCAAAGAGAACCCAACAGTTAAAAACTTCATTAGTCTCAATGTGTAATTTAATTGAAATATTATATTAGCACTACAATCTTCTATCAGAATTGTAGTGTCTGGTAATGCATTGTAGATTAAACTTTGTCCTGCTGACTTTGCTTTCAAACTGAGTCCCACAACTCCACTATTCAAGGGTCAGAGTTTATTTGATCTAGATACAGCATTCTTAGGCTTAGTGAAAAAAAAATCTTAGTAGATGTGGTTTTTTTCTTAGGAGCAGATAAGAGAAGAAGAGAATCAGCAGCAACTGCTTCAGTCCAAGCTGTGGGCTTAATGCAAGTTCCATTCAAGATAGTGTTATGTGGGAAACTTCCAAGGAAACAAGCATTTGTTTAAGTTCTTTCAATGCATATGCATATAGATATATAAGAGTATTTAGTTATAAAAAGTATACATGCAAATGTACAATTTGGGGAAAAAATAGTATAGCTCATCAAAATTACATTATTTTGCAAGGTGAGCTTTTGTACACCTTTGTATACCACAGTATATTTACATACTGCCAGTTCTTAGAATTCTACACTTTTTGCCTAGATATTTTGAGGAAGGATTAGCAGCCTCACCTGTAAGCATTATTTAAGTAAGTGTTAGATTCTGTGTAACATGAGAGAAGTGGCTCTTTCAGACATCCAGACTCCAACACGCTCCGTAGCAGTGCCATAGGAAAATGAGACTACCACTCCAATTTAAAAATTCTTATTTGTCAAAATGAATTTTCTGTATCTGTGCTCTCAGAAGAAGAACTGGCAAGAAAAAGGAAGGATGGGGTAAAAAAATAAGATACTTGCAATTAAACACTATCAGGAAAAGCAAATTATTCTCCCTTCTCAGGGCCTTTTCCAGTTCTGCTCTATCCCCTGTAAGGTAAAGAACCCAGAACTGCATTTGGTATTTAAGCTGGAGGTTTGTAATGGAATTATAAAGGGGACTATCCAGAGAGTATTGGTAGGAAAAGGCACCAGTGAAATATAAGTATGAAGGCCAAGAAAAAAGCCTTAGTTTTCTTCTGCTCTGCAGTGAGTGAGTGTCACAACCTTGATTTCTTCTTTCAGTTTTGGTACTTATATTCTCTTTTCTTTTTTTTTTTTTTTTTTTTGCAAGGGCAGGAGAGAAACAATGAAGCTAATCAGATTAAATTTTTGCTAAGTAGGATGTCATTTATAGAGTGATATTTCCAAGATAGATACTCACTGATTACTAAACAATACATAACTTCCTTTTTAACCTGCTAGGTAAAAAGGTTCATTCTCTCCAAAGGGAGGGAATGGGAACTAAGCACAGAGATGAGGTGGTTCCCCTAACATATAATCAGAGAAAAAAAGATGGCCCTCTGGAGCTGTATTCATTCATCCCAGAACCTGTAGAACTGGTTCTGTATGTTCTGTACCCCCTATATTCTCTCAGACTAAATTTTGACCTGGACTAATGAGTGACAGGAGGAGATCACATAAAATACTGGAAATTCAGGCCTTAGTTACTATTAGTTCTTCATAGACTTCTACAGAGAAGTTGAAATGTTGCATGAAGCGTTAACTTCTATTGCCACTGTTGTTACAGCTCTTTCTGAGTTTTGTGATGTGTAACAATACCTGTGTTTGAAAAATAATGTGTAAGTCCATCAAAACCTCTTACCCTATGTTCTGTTACCTGTACTTCAAGATACCAAGTCAGCAATGTGTTTGGCTTACCTTCACTCCTGCTTTCTTGTAAAAGTCAAAATGTCTGTTGATTTATCACTAGCAGAGATTGCTGCTTTTGGAGTGTGTTTGTAAGCATGAGAGGAAGGTGCATAAGGAAAAATGATGCTGCAGTATCTTTTATTCTCTCATCAGAGAGATGTATTAAATACAACAAGAAAAAATGCTTAAAAAGTTTAGCTGTTCTTTATACGTTCGAGTGTATGTGTCAGCACTAATAACTTAGTGTTCAATACAGCCATAAATGGTCAGACTTTTAGATGATCACCAGTTTTCTCATGTATTATAAAAAAAGATGGATCTCTGATCAGATCCAGAAAATCTCTATTAAAAAAAAAAAGTTGTTAAATATGTTTTGTTATATATATATATATGCATGTATATATATAAATATTACAATATTATTATAATGATATTATAGTAACATAACCATTCAGGTTAAAACCCTCACCTTCTTAGCATATATCTTCTCTGGATTTATCACAGTTTAATGAATTCAGTCTTTGATATGTCCTTAGCACTTTTCTATAGGATGTGCTATTCAAGCTCTTCTTTTTGAAGAATCATGCTCCTCACAAATCATCTCTGTAAAGACATACACTTTCATATACAAGTAATTTTTCTGTATTGCATCATACCAATTGCAAATATGGCTAGTATGGGGTTTTTTACACTAAACCTTTACTGGAAAAAATAAGTAGTATCCAACCTTCTTGCAAGACAACCTTCTAAATCTTTATGTACCCCAGCTTCATCAAACTGAGCATTTATCTTACTTTCCTTGTAATTGTCACAAATATCAAAAGCTATTCCTGGAACCAGCATGCTGCTCATTAACTCAGTTCACTAGGGCATGAATAATAATCATGTTTGAATACAGTTGGCTTGTGTTGGTTCCTTTCTTCTGCTTGGTTTTGGTATCTGAGTATACTAAGGTTCAGGGAGCTTTCCTTGTCTTGTGAGATTATATCAAGTAGGCTGCTTTGGAAAACGAGTACTAAGTAAACTTACTACAAAAGCAGAATTAGATAACAAATATAGTTCTTTAATATTTGAAATTGATCCCTACAATAAAGCAAGGTATTGCTCAAGTAAAGTTGAGCAATACACGAAAAATATGGGGATGTATTCAAACTTGCTCAGTTGTAGTAGGGCCACTAGAGAGGAATAAAAGGTAGTAAGCTCACGAAAAGACTCCAGCTAATGCTTACGCTGCAGACAGGTTTCAGTCACCTCTAAATTTTGTAGCAAATATTCTAATGAGCAGAAATGACTCCTAACTATTTCCTCTTTCTTCATCTTTAAAAGCTGATGTCAGTTTAGTTGAAGTATTCAATTTTTTACTTAACGAAAACAGTTAAGGTAGGTTACCTAACTTTCTTAGGTAACTTACCTGTGGTCTGTTAATGTCTTTCCACAAATAGATGCAACTTAGGGCAAGGGTGTGGAAGGACCGGTAAAACCAGTTTTTCTTTGCCTTAGACTAAAACTTGCAGTGTTTCATATTCTTTGAGAGTATCCTGAATCTCTGCACACCAGGCTCATCTAACACACCAGCATATAAAGTTGAACCTTTTCCCAGTCTTACATGAATGACAAATTACCTAATGTTTTAAGTGCTGTTCTTTTTTACCTCTCTCTCTTTTTCTGTGTAGAATATTCTGTAGTTGAGATATGGCCCTCAGCCAAAGAGAAAAGGTTAAATAGAACCTGTCTGTTGACACAGCTATACCTCTTTAGTTTGTGGTTCTTAAAATATATTTAAATGACCTTCCATATTTCAAAGAGTAGAAAAGTCACGCTGGAGTTTGTTTCTCTCTCTTTAAAAAATTAGTGGCAATTTTAATTCATCTCTTACCAGAAGTTAAACACTGTAAACAAAAACTCAACTGACTTAAATCAGCAATAACAGAACGTGGTTAGTAGGAGCTGTTGTAACTGAAGTGTTTGACAGGAAGGTTTCTTGGAGTTGAAAAGGCAGTCCTCCTTGTTTTGTAGATGAGGAGTTTCATGTATGACAATTTCATTAAAGTGAAAGTACATTGTTGATAGAGATACAGTAGCTGTTTTTCTAAGAATTAGGTGTTGGCTGCATTAATGTTTACATAAATTTTGCTCACGTCATTCTCTAGCTCTTTCACTATAACTGTAATAATTTATGCAAAATGCTTTCTATTTAGCCTGGTATACTCAAAAACAGTCTGCAAGAGTTGGAATTAATTTCTGTAATTCTTTTTTTTTCAATCTGGAATTGTATTTAAATTTAATTAAATAAAATAAGAAACCTCCTTTTTTTTTGGTTCCCCGACTTTCATAAAAAGCACACTAATTTTCTTTAAATTCTTGACGACATTAGAATTCATTTTCTCACTGAATCACATCTGAGAAGTACCAAAATATCAACCAGCCAGCTCCACAACCCACCAAATCCCGGTCTAATCATTCAGGTTCACAAGACGCATCTATATATCAGTCCCAGTGTCACCTTTGAAATATATAAAATCCCAAAAGCAGTTACTTTGCAAACTGAATGTATAAAGTGATGCCTTTCCCTGAACTACATGATTCATCTAGCAAGCATATTTTACTTCATTATTCACAAGGGTTTTTTTAGATTAGAAATCCAGCACTGACATAAACTACAACTTTTTGTTGTGCGAATTAATTAGTCATATTTATTCAAGATATTGCATTATACATATGTTTCCCAAATGTTATTATAAAAATATTAATGAAAAGCATGCTAACTACAATAAAATACTATAAAAGGTAATATTCCCTGTACGGTACCTTCTACAGCAGTGTACAAATGCTTTAACAAGTGGATTAATGGGAGCTATGAATCCTGGCAAATGTCAGTGCCGGGTAAGTTCAATTTACTGAATATAGCCTTTGCAAGGATTGTGTTATATTTTGAACATACCTTTCAAATGGTT